AATGGAAAGTTCAAAAGAGCAGCATTTATTGGAAATAGAAATTATTTGTAACATTATAAATGTGACTTACTTTTGATACATTTAATGCATCTTTTCTGAATAAAAGTATTTAAAAAAGAAAACTTAGTGACTCCAAACTTTGAATGGTAATGTAGACTGCACAGACAATATACAGTCCTGCAAAAACATCTGCTTGAATTTGAGCACATTTTTAACATTTCATGGGATCAGATTTTATTGTGGTTTGTGGTTTGGTGCATCTTTTTTTAGTGTACAATTTCAGTGGCTTGGGAAAAGTAATTGCCCTTAAGAAGCACCTTAATGATCCTCCCAAACATTTTATGAACAGACAAATCAAAAGTGGAACTTTTTTCTAGACATGTGCCCTGTTACAGTTTGTTTGATGTGAACCAAACACTGCATTTTTGACCACAGCATCGTACATGCTACAGGCAAAACATGACAGTAAGGCTTCAGTCAGCATAGTCTAGAGTGGTGTATGGATCCATCATCATGTGTCAAGTCCAAACAGAATCAATGTGGAAAATAAATTGTCCAAACAAGTAGTCCCTGGTGTAACACATCAAGACGATGATACTCACGTCACAGATCGAGCTGATAAACACTGTGACATCAAAATGCTGAGGCAATATTATGCGTTTTGTGAGATATCAATATATACATCCACAGACAATTGTGTCAAATTGTGTTTTCTTAGTACTGTTTACCTTATTCTGAGAAAGGAGTTCATCTCGGAGAGGTTACGACTTTTCCATTCGTCAGATAAGGTACAACGACTCCAAGATGTCAGAGATTCGATGTAGAATGACTCGCAGACAAACACCCACACGCTCTTGACACATTCACACAGACCAATGATCTCTCCTCTGAATTCTGTCACTCCTGTCCAACCTTGAGCCGGCTCTATTGAACCCTGCAGAAGGTGGATCGATATTCCCGCTTGTTCTGACAGTTAATATTCATACAGCCCATCGTCCTGGAAAATACCAACCTGAATCAGCGCTTTTATAATTTTCATTATCCTCACCCTCCCTTTTAACATGTTTTTGCAGAGGAACTTTGACTGTCCTCTCACTTGTTGTTTCTTCGAAGTCCCCCAAAACTAGAAATGTATCTCAAAACCTAGTGATCAAAAATCAAAATTAGGCATCTTCATGGCTCAACAATAAGTTTGGTTCAGAGCAAATGTGAAAATGTCAGGCCTGTTGACGTAATTGACACTACACAGTCTTATTTGTTGACCATTTTCATGTGTTTTTATGCCTTAGGAACTTATGCATAAGTTGTTTCTCTGATGGATTGTTGTTGCAACTTTTAAATGGATTAAGAATTTAAATTTTAAGAATGATTTGTTATAAGTTAAAGTGTGATAAATTAGCAACAAATCACGCTACACCATTGTTTTCCAGTGTATGATTTTTGTATTATGAAAACGAAAAAAAAAAGATTTATGAAATAAAAAGTGAAATTAAGTGTTTAAAAGGTCATGGGAATGCCATAGAAAAATCTCCATTTAATATAATTTTCCCCTTATTTATTCTTAGTTCTGAAGTGTTTCTTTGACTAAAAACTATTATTTGAATAATTAAAAAAATGTTATTTATAAAATAATGGAAATTGATTAGTCAGAAAGTTCAGGATCTCTCACTTTGCTTGTTTTTCCTTTTCAAAATAAATAAATCTAATGTTTAATAGAAAGTATTTCTTTCTGCCACACATTAAAAACATTTAGTTTTTGTAGTGCCATGAAAATATTGGCTGTACAAAGCTGCATTATCGTCCCGACTGAGCCAACAGAAAACAAAAAATCCTTAAGGTTGAGACCTGATTTTAGATGGTAACTACAGTTTTGAGATGGCCTTCACAACAGAAGTGCAAATAAAGCTCTTTGAGTAGGCGGCTCACTAGATTTTTAGGCACAGCAATCTCTCCAAAACTTCAGCATTTTCCTTCCAAGTGTTTTTGGCTCGCTCGTATGTCTGTCTGAAGTTCTGTACACAGTTGATGCCTCGCTACTAAGACAACACTTTTTAAGAATGTGTCCACACATACACGAAAGTTCGATTCGCACATTGAGAGAGTCGTGGAGTGCCTGTTCGGAGGTTGTAGAAGA